CATAGTTATACTAGCCATGGTTGTAGAGGAGATCCTAGATCTATATGATAAAAGACTATCACGAGATGGCTTTTCAAGATGGACTTGAATTCATGTGCTCTTTAGATTTAGGATGGGTTTTTTGACTACAAATGAAAGGAAGAAAGTGGTAAATGGGATACTAAATAATCACTTATTTCCAGTAAATTTTGAAGACAGCTAGGAGACTTCAATAGCAATTGTGATGATATTGTAGAGGAGTGCATGGCAATTTTGGTTTATTGCATGATTTTCTTAGAGCCACAGCCAATCAGGGACACCTTGCAAATAATTTTCTAGCACTCATTATTATCTTATAAAACTTAGAGTACTCCTCAGAACACTAGTAAACATTGGCACTAACTCCTTATTATAAGTATTCACAATACAAGTCATGATCCAAACAGAGGATATGATGGTAGCCTTATACTTTAAAATCTTTAGAGAATATTTTCACTAGTGAATTATAGAGATCATTCAAGGTATCATTGCAACCCATGCCCAAGAAAAAAATAAAAACCAAGAGCTTAGAATTCAAAAAAGAACTGTTATATAAGTTACACTATTTTGCAATAGATTTGTCAAAATTCCAGCCTAGGGAGATCATTTATGTTTGAAGAGATGATTTATTCCAAGAACTAAATTCATTTTCATGGATTATTCATGTATGAAGAGATGACTTATTTCCAAAACAAAATTCATTTCTATGATCAACAATATGTAGGTAAGTGATCTTCATTCCAAAATCATATCCTAGTGAGGAATGGTTGCACAAGCAACTTTTAGAATCATTGATGACTCTAAAAGTCATCAGTCATCTTGTATTGTAATATGTAAATATAAGTTTAGAAATAATATGATGTTATAAAATGGAACTTTCATATTGAATCTATACAATTATGGAAAAGGAAAATATGAATATGCAATATATTCTATATATTCTTTCAAATACCTTTTGTGGCTATCTTGCAATTACCATCCCTTACCATTCGTGCCCAATGATATACTATTAAAGTTCTCCAAAAAAGAGTCTACTTACTTACAAGCATTAGTCTCTAAAAAAATAACCTTTTGAAGCTTCACAATTATAATATCACTTTACTCTTTAAACCTTTCAAACTCCTTAAGTGTTTCCATATGAAGAGGTGGGTGAAATATATGAAGCTTTAGGAGTGCATAATAGCTTCAAGCTTGATAATAATTCACTAAGCTAGATTTTGGTTTTGTAAGTTGAGAAGAAATTCCTTTATTGAGTAGATTTTGGAGGAAATTGTTTGATTTGCTAGAAAAAAAATTTGTATATGATTATATGACTTATTAATGGTACAATTATTTTCCAATCTCAATAACATCTTATCCTCCTTCTTCTACACATAGCATATACTGGGAAATTTTAGCCTATTCTTACAATCAACAAGAGCAACTAGGTATTCAAGCACTTTGAAATCCTAAATGTTTATATTAGCTTCTTTATAAAAAAACAGAATTCCATAGAATTTCATGCACTATACATACTACACAACTATTAATAGCTGAAATTGCTCTCTCTAAACTCCTCAACCCCTTAGTAAACTTGAGCAATACAAAAAATCTTTTATTAATTAAGGTGTTTTTGTTGAAAGAATATTAAATTTCATGAGTTGAATATGTATTTTCACTTAGAGAATATTCAATTTCACACGGAGAATATTCTTTCGGAACCAAATAAGTGACATATATACTATTTTTCAAATGGTATAGACTTTTTTTCACAATACAAATGACACATGGTTGTCAAGAATAAAGAGAAAGCCTCTTTGCAAAGTAGTAGAGAAAGTAGAAATGTTTTAGAAAGACACTAAAAAGTGGTTGGAATATGCTACTAGAGTTTATATTAGTGCTCAGTAAAGTTCTTATGATGACAAGCTTTTTAAAAGGCCATCTCATGCCTCAATTTAGTAAAGCAAGAGGAAAATTAGAGTTGGCAAACAAAAGATGTATGAAAGTCAATTTTGGTGCTGCTAAACACAGTTTAAGAGACTATCTGGCATGTAGCTGCTGGTGTTATTGCCAATTTGGCTATGAATATAGATAGACACTCTTATTCAGATGCTAGAAAATTAATATATCTAAAGTAAGAATTTATTTCGTAGCTGTAATTTATAAGTAATATATAATTCAGGTTTTAAGTTTTAGAAACATCTTTTAAAGCATATTTTCCAGATCTTGGTCTAAAGCACCGAAAAGAGTATTCTCTGTGAAAGGAAAATCCAATAGAATATTCATAAGTATATTCAATGAATGATAAATTAAGATGGAGGGATCTGGGATAGAATCTAAAGCGTGAGTAGCAAATCATCATATGTATGTATGTCAAATTACTTATGTCAAGGACTTAGTGTCCAAGAAATAAAAACAAAATGAGTCTATATCTAATAATATACATTACTCCAAAAATAGAATTGTTAGAACCACTGAAATAATAAAATAAATAAAGATAACATGCATATAAAATGTAAACATTTTAGGAAGAGTAAATAATAGTAATTGTGACTTCTTTGATGTATCAGTTATTAAAATTTTATATTTTGTTTTCTTCAACAAGACATTATTATGGCCCCTAAAATGGATGAACCTCAAATTGACAGAGTAGGATTTTTTGGAAGTGTTAATAGTTTATTAGACAATATCAACCATAATAAAAATTATCCTATAACATATATAGATGAAGATAGAATACTAACATCTCAAGAATATTGTGATATAATAATCAAAGTTAAATATCAATGTTCTTTTAAGGGAAAATATATAGAAAATAGTAGGAAATAATATTAAACATGGAATTGATCAGCTTTTAGAGTTTAGAAAAGATTGTTTATATAAAGAACTCCCAGGTTATTTTAAAAATTCTATTACTCAGAAATATGTTAAAATCAGAGACAATTAAAATTTTCAAGCTATTAAATAATAATATGGTAAAGTACTAATTAATGATGTATTATATATTCTAAAATCCTCAACACACAGCACCAAAATTCATGAGACATGATTCTTTGGAAAGCTATTTTCTTGCTCTACCTCTCAAATAAAACAAATTTCAGGAAAGAAAGTAAAAATTATCTTATAAGATATATACTAAATGGTATATCAGATGAATTGACATTTCAAAATCAAAATATTACTTTTGAAAATATCTATGGCTGTTATATTAGAATAAATTCTTAATTTTCCTATTCAATTCTTTACATTAATAATTTTTTAATTTCTCAAAATGGTAAAAATATTTTAATATTGGAATATAGTTGTAAATTTTGTTTATATTCATTAAACCAAAAAGTTTGGGAATTAGAAAATACATTAAAAAAATTTTTAATTGTTTCTTAATTTTATAATATGATGGTAATTTAGTTACTTATTCCAATAAAACTTTTATGGATGTCAGGTACCTCAAATCATAAATTATGGTCACTCTAGTGAATTTAAATTAAATAAAAATATGTATGGTTTTCTTTTAAAAAAGTAGAATACTACTCCTCCCTTAAATTTGACCCCAATCCACTAAATAATTAAATATAATGTAGTTAATATACTATAGAAATAAATACTTAAATTTCAAAGTAAACCAAAGAAACTTGGGTGCCTAAAATATTCATGCATATTCTAGGATATTCTTCAATCTGATTTTTATTTTTAAACTCGTTCTTAATCAGATTATGTGTTTAAAAACGTAAGCATCTTGATTGTCCTTTGAGAGGTTTGTATTACTTTGCGTCGTTTTAGTATAGCAACATTGGGAAAACAATATGTTCCTTTCTCCTTAGATTGCAATGTATTAAAGTCTCTGATGATTCAAGCCAACTCGATACTAAGGAATCAGGCCACTATGTCTGTTACAAGGACTGGATTCTTGCATGTAAGCTAATAAGATTATCATTACTAGCAAATTTAACATGAAAATCCACTAAAATCCAACATGCAATTACATGGCGGCTGCCATTTTAGGCTCCGTCAGAAACCATAGTCATCCATAAAATGCTGTTCTTCTCTGGCATCCAATTAAACATAAATTTGGTATGACTGGCTGGATTTCTAGAAGAATTAGAGCTTTTGGTCTATCCATTTTTTCCTTTCTTCTTCCATAACAGAACTAAGCAAGACATTCATAATCAGCTACTACATATTCAAAACATACACCAATTAAAATATGGACATAAAATATATGTTACATAAAAACAGCCATTGAAATGAAAAGAAAAGCAAATGTTGCTGCATAGCTAGCAAACTATTTAAATAGGAATATTAATGTGGATAAAAATAAGAAAGATATAGAGACCCATTAGTCCTGCCAGTCGAATGATCTCCAGAGTTTTGAAGGGCTTGTCATAGCCACGTTGTATGAGCTGCCACCACGTTTCTGGTTATGGCTAGCACGGTGCTCACACAACTTTGAACGAGAAAAGGAAGTGGAAATACCACTTGAATATTCTTGTATGTATATTCCATGCTAAATTTTCATACTGAACTAGATTTGTCAAAACCACTGTTTACTGAACCCTAAAAATCTGTGAATATTAGTGATGAGATTAGTATATTCATTCATTTTTTGTTTAGGAAGCTTAACAACAAAGAATGCTCTGTACCATGATGACATATTTTTCATTAGTGTATATTAAGATCACAACCATTAGATTGAGGAATTTACTAAAATATTCTAGGTATATTCTTTCCAACCAAAACTTTTCCAATTAAATACTTGTTAAAAGAGAATATCACCTTTGCTTTCAATTCCTTGAGTCACCACCCAATGTGGATTCAGTTGTAGAGATCATAACTTCACCAGAAGTGTTCGTCGTCGAAGTAAAGTAATGAATATGGAAGACCAACGCTGCTGATGAGCTGAGGGAGCTTTGGAGCCGGAACATCCACCACTCCAGCTCCTCACGAGATCAATCTTGGGAATGATGAACCCTGTTTCTCAGCTCAAAGACAATGACAAGATCATCTTGCAGTTAGAAACGAGTTGTGAATGTTTGAAAATTTTAAAGGTAAAGGCCTTTGAATGAAGAGGATCTTCTAAACACCACCAAACTCCCCAGACAAGATTTGCAGCACTCCCTCCGAGTTCGCAGCCGCGAGAGTACACGAGCAATCTTCCATCCAGCAAACCGCGCTCGCCAAGCTCGAGTTCCTCCGCGCGGAGGAGGAATCCGTGGAAGAACTCCAAGAACTGGAGGAGAACTGGTGCCTCAAAACAAAGCTTTGATCACCGCCACCACCGCCGCCGCCACCGCTCCCGACCTGATAGACGTATGCCTGGTTCGTCTCGGATCCACACGCCACCATCTCTCCCTTCCTCCACACCGAGAGCCCCACAAAGTTCCTCACGTTTTGGTGCTGACTAAAGCTCTCCACCACCCGCGGAGCCGGAGGAGCCGCCAAGTCCCACACGCAAATAGTGCTATCCACGGACGCGGTCACCAGCCTTTCCCTGTCTAGAAACCGTGCATAGCTCGCGGCCCGGCGGTGGTGAGCCAGCGTCCACACCGGGCACTCGGGCCTTCGCAAGTCGTGCACGTAAACTTTGCCGTCGGCGCAGGCGAGCGCGAGCAGCGTGCTCGAGAGAGGATCAAACTCTGCACAGCAAAACGGCTTTGAGTCGGGTGCCCGAATTGTGAGAGCTGACCTTTCCATGCCGCCTTGCCACACCCGAGCCGTGCCGTCGTCCGAGGCCGACACACACACGTCCGACATGCCTGTCGCGTAGTCGACGCTCCAGACGTGCCGGCCGCCGTGCTCGTCTCTTTCCACAAGCGGGATTTGTCTTTCCACACTCCATTCTGTCACTACCCCGTCGTAGTCGCCGCATGTGATCGTCCCTGTCTTTCCCGGCCGCCACTGCAAGCTGCTCAGCCTCGACGGCGCGCAGATGACAGACAGAGAGCTCCTGTCCGTGTCGAAAGTGTTGCGAGCACGCCGGCGAGAGCTCACGAAGCGGCCCTCTTCGTCTTCGTCTTCGAGACCATCTTCATCGTCTTCATCAGCAGCCTGATCCTGCTGCTGTTTCTCCTCGGAGTCCAGGATCGCCGAGATGTCGTAGACTCTGATCTTCCTAGCAATACCCCCCGTTGCCATCAACTCGTTGGAGCTGTCGAAAGCAACCGAGCCGATGGTCTCGGTCGCATGAGACGCAAAAGGCTTGATCGTAGCACGCACCCGGAAAGCCCACCGCGAGGAGCTCCCTTGTTCCATCTCCAGCCTCCGGGGACACCGGGGAGGAGGCCTCACAACGCAGCATCGACGCTTTGCAGCCGCGTCTTGTCCATTGGACATTAGCAACTGGACGATCACCACCAGTTGCATCGGCCTTCCAGGTGCTACTACCATCTACCGCTGCATCTCGTGACACGGTGCCAGAGGCTGGAATCCCCGGATGATTTGGAGAGCTTGATCGGATCCCGACTGCGAGCACTCCCGCTCTCCCTTAACCTCCAAAGCACCATGTAAAGTCGCAGGGATCACCGGAAGTAAATACGCCTGTTTCATCCCATGACGATCCAGTAAGCTCCAATGAGATTTCCTTGAGTTGCCTGGGTCCCTGTTCTTCCTTGTAAGCGACCAACCTCACTTTCACGAGCTCCAAATAAGGCCTGGCTTTCCCACTACACTGACTTCCAGCCTCCCGGACGAAAGGATGGCAATGAGGCCACGACACTGCCCAGACGTGGAGTCCGATCTTCCACCCACGTCAGCGTCCACCTCGACAAAGACGCTAACTGAGCTGGAGAGTTATCCGCAAAACTGATAGAGCTCGAGCTTTGTACACTGTCCTCGCGTGATGTCTCCAGCGCTTTAAAAAAAGGCCAGTTCTTTTCCCTTCTCCCTGGTCTGTCACTGTGGCTTGCCCTTGATCGTATAAGGCCATGGCTTCTGTAACTCCACATCTTCGCTGTACAACACAGTCGTACCAAGTTGTCCGCAACCGCAGACCTGAAAGGGACTAAGATCAGTAAACAATCATTAAGTCAGAGACATTCTCTGCCTAAAGACTGCTGCTGCCGCCGCGAAGAGAGATAAGAGAGCCTCTTTTTTTTTTTGTTGGTGTGTTGTGCGTGTAAGCAGCGGAGACCGTCATCGCTCGAGTTTCATTTCACTGCTTGTCACCACCAACGTAAAAGTAACGGTTACGGGAGGACGACATGCCACCGAACGAGAAAAAAAAAAAATCTCGCCCGTGTCACAGACCTCAGAGGAAAACTGTCGTCAACTGGAAGCTGTGGAAAGGCCACGGAGGAAGTGATTCATCCCCAGTCAGGCACTGGCCCTGTAGTAGCAGCGTATCCTTCTTCTGGTGGGGGTTGTAAGGAAGGAGGAATTGCAAAGCGTCCTGTAGCAGCGATGCAATGAAGTTACAATCGACCGACACAGCAGAATATCAAGAACTGACTCACCAGAAAATGCCGCGTTCCTAGGACCACCAGCTGAAAAGACCAAACGATGAGGTGTAAAGAAGAGCAAGAATAAAGAAACAAACTCTTGCCTGGAAAAGTTTGAGATGATCGCGCTGGATGTATATACTTGCACCTGAATCCATACTCACAATTTCCCTGAGAATTTTTTTCCTGATTTCAATTCTAGAAGAGCAAACTCATACCGTTCGCGTGAACTTGGCGCAAATTCCCCGGTTAGGATTCTCGGCCAGGAGCTCCGCAGGATCTAGCAACGCAATCTTTACATTGCTCCAACCGAAACGAGACAAACGATCACTAAACTTGCCTCGGAAAGAATCAAACCACGCTTTCTTCGTAATCTGATGATACGGCGACTGGAGATGCTTGCGTCGAGCGGCGGGACCATCCACAAACGTCTTGTCGCAGTAATCGCAGTGGTACTTGGGCGCAGGCATTCTTCCTCCTCCAGCAAACCCTAAAATCTCTTCCAGCAAGAGCCCTAAAATCCGGGCGGGATTTAGGGCAATTTCGAATTCCCCTCCTTCCAGAATAGCACTTTCCTTGATCGTCTCCGGATATATGGAATCCATGGGCAGAGGTCGGCTCCATCGTTTCCCTCTCATCGCCGATGGAAATGTTGCGCAACTGCAAAGGTTTGATCCATCGTCTTGCGCTATTTCTCGTGATCGCGGCGCGCATCGCCGCTGCCGATTCTTCTGGCAAGCCTGTCGTCCCTGCGCTGTTCATTCTCGGCGATTCTACTGTGGATTGTGGCAACAATAACTGGCTCTGGACGGTCGCGCAGTCGAAATTTCTTCCCTATGGCAGGGATTTCGACACTCATGAGCCGACTGGAAGATTCACAAATGGACGCTTGAGCATCGACTATCTAGGTACCAAAATCTCCACTCTTCTTTCGTTTCCTTCTTACATCTAGTGTTCTTCCTCTACCAGCCGATTTCTTAAATCTTCCGCTGGTACCGCCATATCTGTCCCGGCCAAGTTATGATCAAGGTGTAAACTTTGCCTCTGCTGGATCCGGGATCCTCAACGCTACTGGCTCGATCTTTGTGAGTTCTTTTCTTAGTTTTTTGTCGAGAATTTTTTTTCTTGGTTCTTTGTTTAGCTCCTACTTTCTAGTTTTTGTTTGCTTAGAACTTAACTTAGACTTTGTTTATCATTTCCAGGGTCAAAGAATTCCAATGCAGACGCAGCTAGCTTATCTCAAAGACGTCAAGAGCGAGCTGTCCGAGAAGTTTGGCCAAGAGCAAACGAACGAAATCTTTTCCAAGTCGATCTTCTACGTTTCGGTTGGAAGCAACGACTTCATCAACAATTACTTGGTTCCGGGATCCAGTTACTTGCGCGACTACAACCGCAAAAGCTTCATCGATCTCCTCATCTCTGGCCTCGACGAGCAGCTCAACGAGCTCTACAGCATTGGAGCCCGACGAATCGTCGTCGCTTCTCTGTCTCCACTCGGCTCTGTACCATCGCAGCTCGCGAAGTTCTCAACGATCAGACTGGATGGTTCCAGTTTCCTCAACGACATGTCTCAGCAGTACAACACCAAGCTCTTCGATCTGCTCGTCCGCCTGAGATCTTCGCTCAGCGAGGCAGATGTCATCTACAACAGCCTCTACAATGTTCTCATGGACATCTCTGGGAAGTACTCGCAATACGGTACGCGAAAAACTACTCCAGCTTTTTTGCTTTTCGATCGCTCACTCTCAACTTTTCAAGGATTTCTCTACAATGACACTGCCTGTTGCGGCCTTGGCAACTTCAACGGCTCCGTCCCTTGCTTGCCAAACGTTCCAGTGTGTGAGGATGCCGCACAGTACGTTTTCTGGGACGAGTATCATCCCACAGGCTCCACTTACAAGCTCATCGCGGACAAGCTATGGTCTGGAAACATCAACGAAAGCTATCCGATCAACGTGAAAACTCTCCTCGGCCTTTGATCGATCATCCGTACTATTTATCAATATACACGGTTTATGTTATTTCGTACAATTTGGTTGTGGCCTTTTCGTTTGGCCTATAAAACCCTTTTAGCATTAACACAAATCAGGGTTTGCGCAAAAGGAAGCGGATGGAGAGGCTCATCATCCGTAACAATCGACTTGTGAGGGACGATGGGAAGAAGAGAGGACGTTACGAGGACGAAGAGGCCAAGGGTGGGAAGGCTATGATCAAGAGGACTAAGATGGACCAGCAGCTCCAAGACAAGGAAACCAAGGGGGAGCAAGAGTACCTTAAGGCTTGCTTTAGGGGTGGTCCGACCCTCGTCAGGCTCAGTTTTCTTAATCCGGCAAAAGTAGAAGCCACTCGCGAGATCAAATTCAATCCAGCATATAGTTTTCTTAATCCGGCAAAAGTAGAAGCCACTCGCGAGATCAAATTCAATCCAGCATATAGTTTTCCTAATCCGGCAAAAGTAGAAGCCACTCGCGAGATCAAATTCAATCCAGCAGATAGTTTTCCTAATCCGGCAAAAGTAGAAGCCACTCGCGAGATCAAATTCAATCCAGCATATAGTTTTCTTAATCCGGCAAAAGTAGAAGCCACTCGCGAGATCAAATTCAATCCAGCAGATAGTTTTCCTAATCCGGCAAAAGTAGAAGCCACTCGCGAGATCAAATTCAACCCAGCAGATAATCCGGCAAAAGTAGAGGCCACTCGCGAGATCAAATTCAATCCAGCAGATAGTTTTCCTAATCCGGCAAAAGTAGAAGCCACTCGCGAGATGCCCATGAGGAGGGAGGTCAAATCCAAGGCGACTAAGCAATTAGAGACAAGTATGACAATGGAGATTGAGTGTGAGCCCGTCGACAAAGTTAAGGGTGGCAACAAGGTGGCAGTGCACGCTTCAGGTCCTGAGCTTCAGTGATGTGCCTAGAACCACTGCCCCAAAGGTCCAGTGGAATCCATTGCGGGGTGTTGCCGCCAATCAACTTGTGTAAGACTTAAACTTAAAGAAAAGGACTTTTCAATTTAAGGAATCTTTCAAGTTGCCAAGCCTCTCCCAATATGCTCCCAGCACGTCAAGACATCCAGATCTCAAACGTTTGGCTCAGTGACATGCTCCAACTTCACAAACGTAAGTTCTTAGATGATTTTTAAAGTTCCTGACGTGGTTTGAGGATCCTGTGAATACACACCACTTTTATTTCTTCTCTCTAACTTGATTGTGTGTATGCAGGCAAATTTTCTGGTTACTTGTGGCAGCTCAATAGCTTCTGGCCATAAAACCTAAAGTTTGAATATCTTACTTCTTGTTGTGAAATTTGTCATCTGGGTTTTAAGTTTGAGTGTTATTTAAATTAAATATATATTTATAGTATCAGAATATTTTAAATATTTTAATTACATTATAAATTAGAAATTTTATAAAAATTTATATTTTAAATGAGATATTTTGTTTTTCTTTTTATTTAGTCTCTATTTGTATCCCAGATAAGAGAGCTGAATGCAAATTCAATAACCTATTAATAATATAAATTCTAAAAATAATTTTTAATATTATATTTTGAAAGAAAATCTAGTTTGTGCTTAAAAATGAAATATATTGATTTAAAAATTAATGTTCCCATTGACATATTAAAGATGAAGGATATGTTTTAGCTTAAATTTTGTGGTTTGTACCTCGATTGTAAAATGACATAAAATTAAAGATGGGATCATTAAAATGATTTATTATTCTATTCACTAAATATTCATAAAAATTCTCAATTCTATTATTTTAAGTAATATTTAATATTATATTATATGAACTATAGTGTTTCACTTCTCTTCATCATGAAGAAATAAGTATTTATATTTTAAATTTTTAATCTCAATACAATAATTTCAAATTGTGAGGGCCAAGTGTACGGCTACGATGCCATATACTAATATTAGTGTAGAGCTATTAAATTAGTTTCAATCCGGATTATCTGCTCTTATATATAAACTAGGGTTTTTGGGCTAATTGATATATATATTTTTTGTATTCCCTTTCCATATTCCAAGCACTTACATTAATGGAGGTGAGTTGCACTTTTGATTATCTCTGAAGAGTGCTTGGATTTGGGATTTTGGTTTAGATCTAACTTTTTGCATTGTCTAGATCAACCATTTTCTTCTACCTTTTTGTCATTTCTCTTCTTTTGCTCTTTCTTTTTTGTTCATCTTCATGGCAAATCAACAATCTCCTCTTTGACTCTGGAGTAGCAGTTGGTACAATTGCTTGATGTTATGTGTTTGCAATTGAACAACCAAACTCAATTAATTGCAGCATTCATGGCACATAGTACAACTCCTCCTGCTTTTGGTGCCAATCCTTGCGTTTGGCCGGAGTTCTTTGGCGGGAATCCTGGGGATGATGTGTACCATTGGTTCGATTACTTCACGGTGATTGCCATATATCATTCTTGGGATGATGCTCGACGTTTGTATGAGTTTCCCATGTGTCTCCAAGGGATGGCGTTGCAGTGGTACAATGGTTTGAGCGCAGCCACTCGTGGGGATTAGAGTGTTCTTCCAGATATCTTCAAATGCACTTTTGGACATGCCGACAACTGTGATAATGCCTTCCAACAATTGCATCATCTTTGCCAAGCGCCATCTGAGTCGGTGATGCAATTTGGTATTCGTTTCCGAAATGTTTTACTTTGTGCAGAGTTAAATATATGGGAGAGGATCAAGCTAGGAATGTTGTGGCCAGCACTTCGTCAAGATTTTATCGGACTTGTGCATGCACTTGCTCCTACCACCCTTGACGATGCCCTTCACTTGACACAATGTTATGAAACGTTGCCTCTTCCACTTCTTGCTGCACATCCTTCAGCTCCACTTCCTATGGGTGATGGTCCTGTTCCAACGGAGGTTGATGTTGCTACTGCTCGAGTCCAAGGACAAGGGCGAGGATGTGGTTGTGGCTGTGATGTTTGCTATTAGGTGTGTGATGAAGTTGGTCATACTTATCAGCGTTGTTAGCATTTTCCAGATTAGTGACCTCCATTTTCTGGGTGGACACTTTGGTGTCAGCAACGTCCCGTTGGTGTTGCTGCAGTGGAAGGTTTGGACATCGAGATGCATCCAGAAAACGAGGAGTCGAGCAAGTAACGGAGGGACCTTGCACGAATAAGTCAGTGACCCCTCTATCTTTCTTTCGAGAGTATCATTAAGGGGTTCACTCAGCACCGGTTCATCCAATGTTTACTTTCCAAGCTCGTTTTTATAATAATAGGTCTCTTATTATTCTCTCCATGTTGGTTGATACAGGTATCTTCTATTGCTTGACTTGTTGCCATACGTTGCCATCTACACTTGCATCATGCGACGCAACCAATTTTCATTCTTTATGGCAACAGCTGTACACATGCATATGCACGGGATGAGGTGGACCTGGTTGTGTGTGTGGGCAATCTTGAGCTTGCGTTATGGTCATTGCGGGTGGTGCCGAGTCAAACTTTTGACTTCATTTTTGGTATGGATTGATTGCAGCGCAATTATGCCAAGTGTGACTTTGAGGCTTCTCCCCCTTGTCTCATACTTCTTTATATTTCATCCATTCCTCTCACTTCCGTACTTCTTCATCCCTTTACTTTTACCTCTACTTCCATTACTTTTGTTCCCCCACTATTTCCTCTTATGTTTCCATATTGTTTTGTTCTTCCCTTTTCCAATCCCTCTGACAATTTTTGTGTTGCAGTGGTTGACTAGCTCATGAAGGAGTATTCTGATCTCTTTGAATTTGACTTATCGTCTGGGGCCAAGATTGCCACATGTCATCCGATTTCAACCGGGGATGCTCGTCCAATCAAGGTTCTTATTCGTCGTCGATCACCCAAGGAGATCAAGATTTTACTTGCAAACGTCAAGGAGATGTTGGAGAAGGGTGTTATTCGGAAATCACAGAGTCTTTGGGCATATGAACTTTATCTTGTGATGAAGCTTGATAGGAGTATTTGTTTCTGTATCGACTATCATCCGTTAAACGAAGCGATGATCCCAGATGTGTACCCTCTTCCTCACACTACTGATCTCTTGGATCGTTTAGGGTGAAGTTGTTGATTTACCAAACTAGATTTTGTTTCTGGGTACTGGCAAATATTGATGGCCGAAGAAGATATTCCTAAGACTGCTTTTCATACACCATTTGGTTTGTATGAGTTTTTGGTGATGCCATTTGGTTTAAACAATGCTCCAGCAACTTTCCAGCGAATGATGGATGAGGTTCTTTGCGATATGCTGGAGGTAACTGCTAACTTCATTGATGATGTCTTAATCCACTCGGAGGGGATATGGGAGGAGCACGTTCGTGATATTTGTAAAGTGTTGGATCGGTTACGCAATGTTGGTTTAAAGCTGAAGCAGTCGAAGTGCATGTGTGGGTCCAAGAACACAACTTATCTTGAGTACTGTATTTCTCGTGAGGGTTTGCAAGTTAATTTTAACAAACTTGTGGCTGTTCTAAAATTCCCTACTCCAAAGTGTGTGAATGATGTGTAGTGCTTCTTGGGCAAGATGCAGTATCTCGATCATTTTGTGGATCATCTTTTTGATCGCACTACACCGTTGTGTGAACGTTGCTAAAGTCATCAACGTCCTCTTTTATTTGTTCTCCGGATTGTGAGCGGGTGTTTATGGATCTCAAAGAGCTATTGACAACTCCTCCGGTTTTGGCATATCCTGACTACACTTGACTTTTTATTTTGTGCGTGGATGCTTCTGACATTGGTTTTGGAGGTGTGTTGATATAAAAGAGCTTGAGTGTGCCTGGTCAGTGCCATCCCATTGTGTATATAAGCTGTACATTACAAGCGGCAGAGATGAACTACTCCACGACAAAGAAGAAGTGTTTAGCAGCAGTTTGGGGTTTCGAGAAACTTCATACATATTTACATGGTTATCGAATATTACTTGAAGGAGATCATGCTGCTGTTACTTCATTATTGAAGCGGAAGATTGTGGATTA